AGAACTGAATGGGGAACCGGGCTGGAGGAGAAGGTGAGCAGGGCTGGAACCAAGAGAGGCCAAAGCAGGCCTTCTGCAGAGAAAAGGGTCTTGCGTGAGTTCAAGACAGCAAGGGTCCAGACCTGGGAGTGCTGGCTCCAAACATGCCGGAGACTGGGCGGTGGGGGTGGCAGCGGTGGCAGGTGGCCTTGGTGGTGCTGGAGGGCTGCTGAGGGGCAGTCCTGGCTGGATATGTCACTGGCCTGGGAAAGCGCCCGTCTTTGTGGGTCTCTGGTTGCCAAATTTGTGGGCGGCTGGCCTCTGGAAAGCTCAGGCTGGCGATGAGTCTGAACTTGCCACACTGCTCCCTGCCTTGGGTTAAGGCCTGGAAGGCTCAGGTCCACCATGCCAGCGTGGCCACGAGGAGTGGGACTTCCCCCATGAGCAGCCATATTTCAACTGTGGAGAGCTGTTCAGGCTGAGAGGAGACCAGAGGAGGACCGCAGTGTGGAGAGAGGAAGGCAGGCCGGCGACAGGCTGCGAGGGGACCAGCAGAGTCTGGGGTGGGGCACGAGACATGCGATGGGACGTGTGGCCAAGACTCTGCACCTGAGTGTTACTGACGCTCCCGGCGGAAGCATGTGGCCTGGCTTTGAGGGCCCAGGCATAGCCACACCACAGGGCACCCAGACTCCCGAGCCAGGAATGGGAGTGCGGGGTGGTGACACACACGGGGGAGGGGGCCGGGGAGGGGAGCGAGAGGGCTTGGAGTTGCTGCAGTGGAGGACGGTTTCAAAGCCCACTTCCACTCTCCCCCACAGCGGCGTGTTTAACAAACAGGACATCCTGAAAACAGAGAGAAGGTGGCCCGTGTGATTCGGTGGGACTGTCCTTCCCTGTTTCCCCTTGGTAGTCAGGATCAGTGACCCCAGCCAGCATGACCATCACCCCACTCCCCACTTTGACAGACCACCAAGGGGCATGGAGACCGAGGCTCATGGCCAGAATCCAGGGAACCCCCTGGGCTCCTCTGAGCTCCTCCAGGTCTTGTGGCAAGATGAAATAAAAGACTCCAGGAGCACCAGCAAAGGGCTCAGGCCCCAACGACGGTGTGAGTCACCTGCTGGGTTTGGTAACCCGCAACAACTGCAGTTAGTACTGCAGGGGATGGAGGAGACCAGCAGAGGACAGACGACATCCCGGGATCTGTCGCAGAAATAAGGACGGTTGCCTGTGTTTTCCCTTCCCTGCCATGTCACACGGAATTTTAACATGTTTCACCCACATTTTATTCTCCTCCTTCTCTTTCTCCCACAATAATACAGGACAAAGGTTCTCAAATGTTTCGGCCCCAGGGCACTTTTACATCTCTGAAAAATGACCGAGCACCTCAAGGATTTTTGTTTTTCAGTTACATCAACATTCAGTCTGGTAGAAATTAAAGTCAATAACTTTGAAAAATATTTGTTTCATTCACTTGAAGACAATACATCCATTACTTGCTTTTTCAAAATTAAAAACAACCGTGTTTTCTGAAACAAAAACATTCAGTAGGAGGGTGGCCCTGTTTCTGCATTTGTGCAAACCTTTCAAGTCTGGTGGAACAAAGGCAGCTGCACTTCCACATCTGCTTCTGCGTTTGGTCTGTTGCAGCGTGGTGTCTTGGCTGAAGAAAACCGGCTTTCCCCAGGGGTGTAGTTGGGAAGGGAAGGACCTCGTGGACCCCCGGGGTCCTTGGAACACACTTTGGAAGGCATGGTGTGGCAGCTGACTTAAAGCCATGTATCCTGGAATAGAAACCGGACAGAACTAGAGGAAGAGAAACCTCCACATGTCCCAGATGAAGAGTTGGGGGAAGCCACTGATAAAGCAGCTTGGGGTTGCCTCTTTTCTCTGAGGGGAGGGGTGAGCCACTGTTTTGTTACAGGGCACAGCTTGTTGGGACCCTTATCTCTGAGGTGTGAGCTTGGAAAGAAGGGTGTGTGTCACAAGGCTACGGAGTGTGGTGGAGTGGACTCTAGTCATCTTCTTTGGTCACCTAGCTTCTGAACACCCTTCTTTTTGGGGTGTATCCGCTGAGATTCAGCAGAGTCCTGCCCCTTCTTCCTAGCGCTAACGAAGGCAGACGATCTCTCCTCTCCCGTTCTAGAAGCTACAGAATGAATGCAACCTGAGGATTGGGCCCAACCATACTTGCCCTCCTGCTACTTGGATGTGGGGATCACGGCATAGGGTTGAAGAATTAGTTGTGGCAGCAGGGGGACTCTGGAGACCTCCTTTTGCTGGCAGTGACAGCAGCTACAGCGCCCTCAGCCAATGGCCTCTGAGGTACGGCCTTGACTGGGTTTTCAGCGTCACAACCTCCCAGGATTCCCGTGTGCTCACTGAGCTTGATCCCAGCCCTCCTGCCATCTGGGAGCCAGCTGCAGTCCCACAGCTTTTGTTATGGTTGGAGCCTTAGAGAGCACTGGGCAATGGCCCGCTGTCTCCCTGTCACCTACTGCCTGGGCCTGTCTCCACACTGCTGCCGCACCCAGCTTGGACCTTTCCACTCTGGACAGCCCTCTGGGGACAATCCCAGACTACAGCACTTTCCTAAAACTGTTCCATGTGGGGCCTCCAGAGCCTCCTTGCTGTTTCCCGAGGGGTTGCAACACAAGGTCTTCCCCATCTCACTTCAAACCCCCAATGGATTCCTGCTAATAGGAACTTTTTTTTTTTGAGTTGGAGTCTCACTCTGTCGCCTAGACTGGAGTGCAGTGGCATGCCCCCAGCCCCCGCAGCCCCGACCTGCTGGGCTCCAGGATCCTTCCGCCTCAGCCTTCCAAGTAGCCGGAACTACAGGCACGCGCTACCACAACCGGCTAATTTTTGATGTATTGTAGAGACGAGGTCTCACCGAGTTGCCCAGTTGGGTCTCAAACCTGCGGCTCAGGCAATCCACTCACCTTGGCCTCCCAAAGTGCTGGGATTACAGGCTGAGCCACCAAGCCCGGATGGGAACTTTTTAAAATGCCAGAATGTTTGTAAAACAGAGAGGAAAGAGTAATTCTGATCTGCCACACATTTTGTGATTCCTTTAGAATGATCTTACAGCCTTAAAATTCATGGGCTGACAGCCTCTATGCAGACTGTCACTGTTCCCTGGCATGCACCACCTCAGCTGAGGCCAGGCTCCATCAGCCACATGCCCTGGTCAACAGAAGCTGAGCGGGGGCTCTATTTGTGCTTCCAGGGTAGGGCTTGACCTCTTGTGCTTCCGCCATGAGAAAGGACATGGCGCGAGGAATGCTGCCACTTCACCCAGGGGCCCAGGGTGTGGGATGTGTTGTAGAGTGGACCTGGATCAGATCCCAGCCTGGATCATAACCCAGAGGCCAACCGTGAACTTGAGAGTGGGAAATCTGTAGCTGCAGGCCACTGAGATATCTGAGGTTGTTTTGCAGCACAAGGTGACATCGATACATCATTGCACAGGAGAAACTAGAGTCACAGAATTTTACACATCGTGGACAGCTGGTGTTTCAGGGCGATTCATAAATTCCCAGGCACAGCCGAGGTTTACATCGACTTCACAAACCAACCCCTACAGACTGTGTCCCTCCTGGGTTTGAGACAGGAGAGGCCAGAGGGGATGGCCCACCTGGGTGAGAAGTCTTGTTACCACACTCCAGACACTGGCTCTCCAACACCAGACATCTCGGGGCAAGGAGACCAGATGGGTGGGGTGGGGGGTGAGGGACCCGCCAGCATCACTGGGGCTCACACAACCCCTAACTGGGCACCGCAGCCAGGAGGGGCCAGCAGTTCACTACGGCCCCAAACCTGCCTCTCGATTCCTCTAGCACCCATGTCTCTGAGCTATTCTTTGGGTGGGGGTGGACACTGGCTCCTTGCATATGGGCCTCAAGTTCTAGGACGCCACTCTGCAGCCATCAGCACCCTTCTGTGCATTCCACGGAAGCTGCCCTTTCCCCCGCAGGTAGGGCTGCCGGCGGCAGCACCACATCCTCATGGTCACAAGGATGTGCCCTACACTTCTCACTGTACAGGACACTCCGCATGGGCCGGGGCTGCATTTGCCCTGCTCTCCACTGTACCCGCAGCCTCACACCAAGCCTGGCTCAGGCAAGGCCCTCAACAAGTATCTACTGAGAAAGCGAAACCTTGTTCGTGGTACAACCACTGCTGCTCAGGGCTGCTGGCAGGTGTGAACCGGTGGCGAGGGTGTGTCCCAGGCCACTAAACTGAGCCGTGGCACCTGCTGGCCTTAAGCACACAGGTGCCCCGGGCTGGCTTTTATTGTGGGCATGCATACCGAGTATGCTGTTTTAACACACTCTAAAGAGGGTAGAAATGGTGAACCACATTATATTCTCCTTTTCCTCCAGGCGCACAGGTCTGCCTCATGGCCAGGGCAAAGGGTGTGGAGCCAGGCTCAGCTCATTTTTTAATGGGTTGCTAATAATAAAAGTGGATCTCCCAGTCTTCTCCACGGTAACACTATCGATACTCCTTTTCATTCTAACCTCCCTTCGAAAGTGTTTATTTGTGCTTGGCCAGCAGAACATTACTTTTGCAGGCCCCGGTTTTTGCCCTTCTGACTGCCTGGCAGACACCAGCACCTGAAGAAACATCTACTGCTTCCCTGTCGCTGGTAGACGAAAAAGTTTGGAGCTTAAAATAACAGCTGATTCTGTTGGCTACTTCTGGTTAAGGCCACTCTCTCCAGCTTTCCAATCACAAGTAACACTTTATATTATGGCCCACTAATAGTTTAAGATTCTTAGAAATGGACAAACCACTTGTTGCTTATTGTGATTGTTTCTGAAGAGTTACTGCTCGTGTGGAAAAATTCAAGGTGCTCACCAAGTGTCATCACTTGTTCCTAAAGGGTGGTGACCCCCTCCTCCACTAATGCGGACGAAGAGAGAATTTGGAAACAGTGTAGACCTCCATTATCTGACACCTGAACATTAAGACCCCTATGTTAAGTTCTAGTAACTTTGATAAGAGCCACACCAGGTGATATTAACATTTTATGTCGTCTTTCAGGACATCTGCAATAGACATACTGTCATATATAAACTTAAAAAAATACTTTAACGTAAAACATCGTACTGCAGAGAACTAGAATTCAACACATTACACCACTAAAAAGTTCATATAAATACTAGATATGCGTGGATTCACTCCATTAGAAAAATTCATCTCTTAGAACATTAAAGACCAGTCTCAGCAAAGCCCAAAGAAAAATTATTTTACCAAGAGGAACACTAAAAATAACAACTATGCATTTTATAAACAAGTGGTGGGCAAGAGGACTCTTTACACTTGCTATTATGTCACGACAGGCACAAACTGAAATACAATTTTAGACAGGCAGTGTATAAAAATATCTTTTAAGACAACACTTTTGATGGGTACAGCAGCACTTTTTAAAAGCTGTGTGATTACTCCTTTTGAGGACCTACTACAACAATTCAACTTACTGCCCCCAGCCAGATCTGAACGCACCAACCTGGAAAGCAAGTTCTCGCACCCAGGTACACTCCTCACACCTGTTCATAAGCTCTTCCATCTGTGGGGCACACTTCTGAGCCTCAGGCAGGCATCACCTGCAAACAAGGAATGAGATGATGGCGTCCGGAGCCCATTTCCAGGCCCAGGTTTGGGAGGATGAACAGAGAGCAAACGCAAGGCGCAGTCTGTGTGTGTGTGTGTGTGTGTGTGTGTGTGGTCTCTATTCCGCGTGTGGGCCCTGCCTGGAAGGGGAGTTTAATCCGGCATATCGATATTTAACTTGGGGGGTGGGGGGGCATACTTTCCAGGGCTCTGGCTTATCACTACCCTGGCCTTCTTTCCAAACATCGGAGCAATTTTTGGAGCTTCTGGAAGCGAAGTTCCTTCAGCATCTTCACTGTCTTCATGACGGAGATCATAGGAAACGTTGCCATACTCTCTTAGAAACGGGAAAATTTCCAGCAGAAACTGACAGAAATCTCTGCGAATACCAAACCACCAGTGGTTGCCCCCCTTTCGCCTAAACGATGCGGCCATGGAGGTTATCAAGGAGAGCCAGAGGGGGACAAAGATCGAGAGGTAAGAGAGGGCATTGTGGCCATCCAACCGGTGCACCAGCAGGACCTCGAAGGTGAGCAGAGGCACGACGACGGCCACCCAGCTGAGGGCCATGGTCACGTGTGTCCTCCGCTGCTCGGCGATCACATCCAGGGACCGCAGGAACAGGAGGGACCAGACGATGTAATAGAGGACCACCAGGCAAAGGAACGACATGAGGATCCACAGGGGCACGAACACCACCAGCCACGCCCAGTGAATAATCCGGTCCAGCCTCAGGGCGATGAAGATGAACTGCAGGATGTTGACCGAGCACAGGATCTCCAGCTCCAGGGACCTGTCGTGCCGGAAGCCCCAGACGCAGGCGGCCACGGACACCGGGGACACGAAGAAGAGGGGCATGAAGACCAGCAGCCAGAAGTGCGTCCCCCTCTCCACCCTGTCGCAGACCAGCACTTCGAACACGAGCAGCAGCAGGTGGATGCCCACGGCGATGAGCATGGCTTTGAACTCCACGCAGGCCTCCCCCTCGGCGCGGTAGCGCGGGTTGCGCGCCCACACGCCCGCGCCCACCAAGGCGCCCGCGACGACCAGGAGCTTCCACAGCCATATGGGGGCGAAGACGGCCCAGTAGCTCCAGTGGATGACGCCGTCGAGGCGGAGGGGCAGCAGCACCGAGAAGAGCAGCAGGCAGGCGTAGATGAGGAACTTACTGGGGTTGAAGTCCTGGAACAGGCCCCGGGGGTTCATGGCGGAGGGGCCGCACGCCCGCCCGGGCCTGCTCCCCCCCGGCGACGCCCGGCGTCCGCGTCCCCGCCGTTCCC